AACAGCAGGAGAAAATGTGTTTTAATTCGTGTTTTCAAGACAAATTTCAAAACCCTAATAAATATAAATTAAGTCCATTTCTAGTATTAGTAAGAGTTTTACAGCACTTGCAATACAATGAGGTCACAATATAAGAGCCGAAGATTAGATGTGTTACAAGAGAGTAACATACACAAAAAAAGGAGGAGAGATAAAGACAACAAATGTTTGATAGGAAAGAAGGGGCAACCGCCAACCACCCGCATATGCGTATTTGACTTGAAGCACCTGAACTGGCCACAAGATTTCAAAAATTTATTTTATTGTTGTAGTTGCTGTGTAAAGAGAAGCATATTGAAACAACAACAGCTATTTAGTGCAGGGAAAAAGTAAGACTGGCCGACAGACAGAAATAGGAGAAAGAAGTAGTCGGACCTATCAGAGGCGCTCTCCAACCACCAACCATATTAGCTCCAAAACTGTAATTACACAGTGTGAATTCAAAAAGATCAAAACAAATTTTTCTTTCCGTACTAAAGAACGAGAGTCCAACCCTTTCTATTTCCTCAACAAGCCTCGTGGCAACCATGGCAAAAGAACAACGTTTCAAAGCAATCACTCGGAACGAAAGCTGTCCGGTCAACAACATCTTTACCGTGCAAATATTATCTAAGTATCAGACTCCACTGTGATATGTCAAAATACAGTGTTCGACAGTCTGACTTGCAAAAAAGGATAACAGAAGATATAGCGCCTAGAGCTGTGTTTACACGTGAATGGGCACTATAGAAATGATCTTCATTATTATTATCATTGAGTCACTTTAGCAAAGTAAGCGTTATAAAAAAACAAAACTTTGATACCATTACAATTCTCTAAACTATCGGTTACCGTAACGCGCTTAACCACTGTAAAATATGGGAAATATTTCATAGACATTTAGCACAAAATATGGAAGAGCGGTATCAAACTATACTACATGCAAAATACATTTATATTTATAAAAGCAGTTGCAAATTCGCCCATTTGGCACAACATTGCAGAATCGCTGCTAGGATGTGATCACCGGGATAAACACGCTGGAAAGTCAAAGGGCACGAAAACAAAACACACTGAGAACAGAGATGATGATAGAGATAGAACTGGCATTTAACTCCCTCCCCCTCCCCCCACCCCATCCCATCCCACCTTCCTTCCTTACAAACAGTGGGAATGAGTACCCTCCTGTAGACAGCGAAAGATCTTGTCAGTTGGTTAATGTTTGAGTGCTTAATCTTAACGCTTCCCTGGAAGCTGAGAACATTTTGGAGTGGGGGGTTTTTTTTTTGCTTTTTTTCACTGGGACAATAACAAAGATTGTAAAGCATATATATAGATCTACAGCTTGCTGTTGAGGGATATGCACTATACAAATGTTATTATTATTATCACAAAAGCTATCCAATTTTTCTGACCAATATAAATCACAGAAATATAATGCAGCTACAATCAGGCACCCTTGGAAAATCAGAGCATTGTAATTGCAGCTGTACACATCATTTTATGCCCCCCCCCACCCCACCCCCCCATTCAACCCAAAACAGAGAATTGTGTTGTAGCTAGTTGCAGATCTGCCAACCACTCCATCACCAAAAACAGGAGTTTTCCTCAAAATCCTCCCATAATAAAAAAAATTATGCCTGTATGCCTGGAAAAGGTTCCAGTCGTTGGAAATTTTGGATATTAAAATAATGACATATTCTTGCAGCAAATTCAATGCTGAATACTCTGATTTTTTAAATTTTCAAATAGCTTGAGTAGTTTTTAAGACACGCTACATTTTGTAATACTACGTGTAAAATCAACGTTTGGAGAAAACCCCAATTTCTAGCACATTTTTTAACCTTTGGTGAAGTAAAATATACCATGTTGCAAAAATGACTCATAAAAATTTTTTAACTTAAAATATTTTAAAAATTCTTTCAATGTATATTTGACAAGGTACACCTATTTTTGCCTTTTCACCCCACTCCTCAAAAACAGCTTTGGCGACAACTGGGACCTTTCCTCAAACACACACACACACAAATAGGAGCTTGGGGGAGAAAAAAAATCTGGAGCCTCCAAAACCCCAGTAGAATAAGATTTCTTAACAAACCATGACAGATACCCGTGTCTTGCAAAAACACGAAATAAATGCACAGGTATTTCCGTGTCATTTATGTGAATCACATATGACCTAAAAAATAGAATTCAAGGAAAAAAATCAGACTTTTTACAAATCTCATCCGGGTTCTTCAACAGGCCAAAAAAAACAACAACTATCGGATAGACAATCATTTCATAAAGTAAATTACATTTTTCAGAGTATTTGGCTGGTCTGTGAGATCTGATGTGGTTCACTTTGCACAGTCGACTACGGGTGAGTTGGTGCTGTCGCGGGAGTGAAAAAAAATCAACTCATCTGAAGTTCAACTTAACCACCTGGACCCGTAAAGAAGAAGGTACCCGAGTATGACGTACGCTGTTCCTCATAGGTTGTATTCTGCATACTGCTTCTATTAGACGCATTTAGTAAAATTAATCGTAGACTCGCATTCAGGAATATTTCTTCAGAGGAAAGAAAATTTCTCATCTTAGATATAGTTAGTAGTATTAGAAAACTAGGTCTATGTATAGGAAACTGACCACTAAATCTAGTGTTTTACTCTGTGCCCCTGGGGATCCAAAACTCTGCCCAGGGAAGCACGTACTGACCCTGTGTCATGAAGGGGTTAATCGAAGATCAACTCACGCGAGCTCAACACAAGCGAAGTCGACTGTATCACAGGCCAGGGGTATCACAAAATCTTCACAATGTCGCTGAAACTCTGCACTCTTAAAAAAAATTTTTTTTTAACCCTTTCCATGTACTCATTGCAACTGGCATTATCAGGCACGCCTTGGTACAAAAATATTATGCTAGGTCTTACAGTACAGAAAATATATGCATTTGATATGAGGTGCTGCTACAAAATGGCCAGAATTAGCTGGAAAGCAAAAGAGACCAACATTGAGGTGTCAGACTCTCCGCACAAGACAAAACCCTGCTCAACAAAAATGAAAAGTAATAAAAATACAATACTTTGATCATATAAAACGTCACCAGACAAATATGGAGGACATACTCAGAGGCAAGATGAGGGGTAAAAAGGGCCATGGGTGGACAAAGAGCGATGTGGACCGATAACATCGAAGCATGTACTGGCCTAATTATGACTGAGTGTATAACGGCAGCTGGCAACCGTAAGAACTGGCGGAGTGTCATTGCACGTCAACCTTGGAGCTAGACTTGACACCTTCAGGTACACCGGTAAAAGCACAGAATGCAGGCCAGTACAGCACACTGCTATTATCTGTGAATTGTCTCTCATAGCAAAACAAACAGTAACTCCATCACTATCAGCTGTGTATTATCTGTAGTAACAACACAAACAGTAACTCCATCACAATCAGCTGTGTATTATCTGTAGTAACAACAAAAACAGTAACTCCATCACTATCAGCTGTGTATTATCTGTAGTAACAACACAAACAGTAACTCCATCACTATCAGCTGTGTATTATCTGTAGTAACAACACAAACAGTAACTCCATCACTATCAGCTGTGTATTATCTGTAGTAACAACACAAACAGTAACTCCATCACTATCAGCTGTGTATTATCTGTAGTAACAACACAAACAGTAACTCCATCACTATCAGCTGTGTATTATCTGTAGTAACAACACAAACAGTAACTCCATCACTATCAGCTGTGTATTATCTGTAGTAACAACACAAACAGTAACTCCATCACTATCAGCTGTGTATTATCTGTAGTAACAACAAAAACAGTAACTCCATCACTATCAGCTGTGTATTATCTGTAGTAACAACACAAACAGTAACTCCATCACAATCAGCTGTGTATTATCTGTAGTAACAACACAAACAGTAACTCCATCACAATCAGCTGTGTATTATCTGTAGTAACAACACAAACAGTAACTCCATCACAATCAGCTGTGTATTATCTGTAGTAACAACACAAACAGTAACTCCATCACAATCAGCTGTGTATTATCTGTAGTAACAACACAAACAGTAACTCCATAATATAGTTTCTGTATAGATCACCCTTAAAATTCAGAAGAAAAAAAAACACAGTTTGTTTCTACCAGAGAAAATTAATTTGAGTCCCTCTGAAATATTCCAACAAATTAAATATTAGGTCCATGTGATCAGCAAGACATTTCTTTGACAGTATTTCAGTAATAAAAATTACAGTGTAAATAGAAGAAGCAGCAATAACAACAACAACAACAGATGAATGAGAATTAAAAGTAAATACTGCTAGTAGCAAATTCTCAAAAATCGTGAAAATCTTTAACATCTTTAACATAAAGCTGTACTAACTGAAATAACTCAACTAAGAGCTTAAGTCAATATATATATGTGTATATATATATGTATATATATATATATAAATACCTCTCTTCCACTATCCACCAGATCTTTTAAAAAAATAGAAGAATGAAGACAATCCCTTCAGAACTCGAAAACGCCCAAA